TCCCTCCCCCTTCTTTCTGGCAGCTCAGGCCACAAAACGAACCACGGCGGCAATTTCTGATCCTCTGATCAACTGTAGGAGTAGGAAAGCAATTTAGTTTGGATTTCTCTAGCTCTGTTCATCACTGTTCCACCTGCAACACACTCCCCCCACCCCCTTGCAGACCCCCCACCACCTATAAACGTCACTTTGAGCCGAGCTTCCGGACCTCTCCTCAAAAACGATTTCTTTCCTTCTATGGCCCCCTGTTACTCCAAGACAATTCTTTTAAGGCAGTAGTTTTACTGGCCATTCGAATTCTTTGCACATGGTATCAGTTAAATTTTTAAAATGGAAAAAATTCTCATATAAAACATGAGAGAACATTTTAAGACTTCCAAAATATTCTCTGCATCTATATTCTTCGTGAACAAACGTAAGGTCACACAGTTATCTCTCAGTGTGCAGAGTGCCTGCGTTCCTGTTCAAGGACATAAGCCTGGCACGAGGTCTTTGCCACATGACCTTTATTACATGAGATGAGAGAAAATTATAATAATTAAATTGTAAGTAGCTCGAATGCCTCAAAATACCTCTTGAGTTGTTCCCTAATAAACTGCACATTCTATCAATTATTACATTTTATATAGGCAAGTAAGCCAGGCAAAACTTGCTGCTTGGGAAGTGAAATGATTCCTAGTTCAACCTCCTTACCCTCCACTTCCTACTCCTGATTCTCTCCAAGGCCAGCCAGCTTGAGTTCACGGTCATTGCACATGTACCATAAATCGAAGGGGAGGTCCTTCTTTCTTCTACAGCAGGACTGTCATCGCCCCTAATAATTTTTAGTTGGATGTGTTTACATAATGTCAACCACAATAATGATAAGCTCTGATTATAAGCTGTGATAAACTCTTGTGTTTTTATAATATTCCATATTTGAAATATACGCATTTCAAGTGAGGTCTATCATGGTATGGAGTGTACTTGACCACCAGACCAAAACCTATCAGCAAATACATACAGGCACCCACAAGATGAGCCAGAACGAACTGGAGAAAGGAACGTAAGGGCCAGAGGAGAGCCAGAGGCTTAAAGAGGTGGTGGCATTTCTGAGCCAGGAAGGGAGAGGCTGCAATGCCTTCAGCAGCTGCGCCGGCCCCAGGAACTGGAGGATCAGGTTTGGTGGTGTTGACATGAGCAAGAGACTTGACATCCTCTCTGAAGGGGACAGTTATCGCCCACCCAGGCCTGTGAAAGTGGACCCAACTGGCCAACACTTCCCATTTTTCAAGAAAAACCAGGATCCACATTTTCAATATGAAATCTCTTTGTTTTTAAATGTCGCCACTAATTCCATTAAAATAAATATTGAATGGGCTCCACACAATCACATCTGTATCCTGAACTTGGTCTGCAGGCCACCAGTTGTGACTTTGAGGCTCCTGTTTCCAGTTCCAACTGTAAGCCCGAGGCAAGCAGCAACACCTCGGACAAAGTTATTTCCCCTCGGTTTGAAGCCTGCATCGTGGGCCAAGCGTTGTGCAGAAACTTCCTTCAACACCCCTGTGCAAAGCAACGAGCGAACAGCAAGCAGAGCCAGAACCCGGCTTTCCAAACCGCCATCCTGCTTGGTAGGCATTTCGCAATCCTCAGCCCCAGAGATAATGAAACAGCCTAATGACATAACTACTAACAAGAATTCTAATGACAGGTGAACACCAAAGCGGCTGTACGTCAGCAACATTATTCCTGAAAGAGAAGCTGCTTCCTCCACACTGGGCCGAGGCAGGTCTCTGCAAATCGAGTGACCCAAAGAGAGAGAGGAAGCCGTGGAGAAAACCGAGCGCGCCCACCAGCAGGAGGAGCAGCCCCACATCTCAGCAAAAAAGCCTACGGAAGTCACTGACCCTTAGCGTACAGAAATAGGTGACTCCTGTTAAAGAGTAAGTCTCCCTGCAGCCCCCCTGCAGCCCCCTAGCTGTGCTGCCCAGGGGCGATGCGGTTAGCACATTGTTGCGGCTTCCTAAAATATCCCCAGAAGAGCGGGTGCATGCATGTCCTCTGAAGCAGAAGCCTGTTTTAGACATGCATGTTCTTAGGGAATTTTAGGGTCGGGAGGGACTGAATTCAGTCCTTTCTTCAGCCTCCCCTCGCTCCCACTTACTACTCCTGAACACAGATCTAAGGGTGAGAAACCCATTCCACGCGGAGGCAGCCCATTCCACTTTGAGACAGTTCCGGCAGTTTGTAAAAGTTTTATGATTCTGAAATCCACCCCTTTGATGTTTTTCTTCACCCATTCCTGCTTTGACCTCAGCGGCCGGAGGAAACAGGTGGTCAGAAGCCTCCTGCCTAAGACAGACGTGAATGTGGGAAGGATCCTATCTTCACCCTGCCCCAGTCCTGGTTTCTCCTCCCCTTCCTCAGGGGCTTTGCCGCCATGTTCCTTCTAGAAGGGATTAAACTCATATTAAAATACTCAGAAGCCTCGTCTAAGAGGGAAGCTGCTCATTGGAGGAGGAAAAATGCCAAGAGTATGAAGAGCCTGCACTGAGAACACTGAGATGCCACGTGAGCTCTAATACGGGAAATACCAGCAGCCCCCGTATGTCCATGTTAACACGGTGTGTGTGGATGCTTTGTCCGGGACTTTTTGGCTAACTAAAAATTTTGGTTGCGTCTCCTCTAAAAAGTTGCCTCAATACCCTGAGATAGAATTTGAAGACCCAAAGTCTATCTGTCTCATGTTTGGGAAAGTTGCACTCTGTGTGGCGAAGAATGTGGCTGGGACTTGGGTTCAAGATTTGCCTCATGACTATCGAGTGTGTTTTGGGACTAGGGAGGGTTATGTATGTGAACTTCCCAAGCCAAGGCATCATCTTTCCATAAAAACCAGACAAACGTGTAGCCTGGCTCATAGGGGGTCGGATCTGATGGTGCTTAGTAGCCCTGAGTCAGGGCTGCCCTTGCTGTCCCTGTGGCAGTGGCCTTTGCCCCAGACGTGGTCTGGGATGTGCCTGGCCACCATCTATGCAGGGCCCAGTCTGGGCAAAGCTCTGTCCCTCAATTCATCATTGTCCTGAGCTCGCGCATACAGTCTTGTGCTTAACAAGTACCACAGTTATGTGTAAACGCCACGTAGCTGCCAAGAAGTGCCAAGTTATCCTGACTGTCACTCCTGTGTCGCAAGCTCAGAGGAGCCCGAGCTTTGCAAGGGTACCCCAGGAGATGCTGAGCTCGCCCACCCCCGCATTCTTTGAGGTCAACCTCGTGTGGGGTGGGCGCCTGTCACAAAACAGCGCTGGAGAGGACGCTGCGTCCCGAAAGGCGGGCAGTGAGGAGTCTTCACACACTGCCTGGTCTTGCGGAATGCAGGGCAGAGATTCCCACGTGGTCTGTACAGTTAGTTGCAGCTTCGATCGGTTGGTGTGTTACCAAATGGACAACATGGTCTGTGCCACCCACGGGACTTGCTCGATAGAAGGCTGGCAAACCAAAGTGAGGTCTTGTCAGGGAGGGGCATGGGACCCAGTCGTAAGACTCTCTCCCAGCTCCTGCTACGTCCCACTGTTGTATTTCTGGCTCACCTTCCCCGACTGTAGCTCGGTTTCAGTTTGTGACTTGTGACAGGTTTCCTGGCACCTCATTTGGGACCCGGGGAGGGAACCAGCACACGGCCTCCGGAGTCTTCACAGCCTTCTTCACTCGGGGGTAGAATGAGCTTGGGGGTGGTGGCAGGGAGTTCAGTGGTTGTCCCAATGTGTTCAAACACAGTAACGCAAATGACTCTAAATGCAGAGGAAAAGGGGCAGTTCTAGGGATGCTGAGGGGCCCTGGGCCTGGCACCTGCGGGAAAGGAAGGAGAAAAGGTGTTCCTTTCCTCCCAGGACCAGACTGGGTACACACACTTGAATTCCACTTACTCTGCTTAAACCCCGGGGAGACCAGACCGACCAGTCTCGATGTTGGTAGGTGACCTTATGAGAACACTTGGGGATCGGGGTGTAGAACGGGGCCGAGAACATCTGTCCAGCAGGGAAGGAGTGACTCTGTGGAAGTTATTTAGCTAACAATCCTGCAGCCCCAAGAAAGCCTACTTTCTTCCCACCCAGTCCTTGGCGAACCTCCCAGGGGCTGCTCCTGACTCAGTCACATGGGGCTGTCTCAGGGGAGTGGGGCGCCTGGCTTTTCTGTGGAAGCACCTCCACAGGCTGGTGTCAGGCCTGCATTCTAAGCCCTTGACTTGTGAGAAATAATTGACAGCACGCGTTTGCTTTTCAAGTACCCTCGGCTGGTTCCTGGCCTCAGAGGGCCGTGGGCTGCCTGAGTTCTCATGCATTCATTCCGTTAACATTCCCCAAGGCCCGGCTTTGTGCCAGGAGTCGGGCGACCACATCTCAGACGATTTCGAGGATGCTTGATGGGATGTGAAGGGTCCTTTGGACTGGAGAGCTCCGATTCAGCCGCCTGGCGCTTCTGTCACACAGGCTCAGCGAGGGACAACTTGGCTGCCAGGCCGTCCTCTGTCCCCACTAAGGTTCCGGGGTGCTGCGCGGGAGCTAGGAGAGGATTAAGGGGTGCTTCCCCCAACCGTGCCATTATCCGACCTTGGGCCTAAGGCTTGGCGAATTCGCCCGGAGCTGGTACCACTTTGTTCTGCAAGTTGAATTGGGAAATGGCAACCCTGGCACAAATCTGGCTGGACGCAGGCTGGGTCACCAGGAGAGCATGGCCAGTTGGCGGGCCGGGTCTTCAAGGACAGCGCAGGGAACGCCATCTCGGGCATGAACCGGGGGCGCCCGCTAGGCTCCCGCTCGCCGTTCGTCCCTCCTCGCCCTCACCAGGGCGCCTGGGCCCTCGGGGGCCACCGCTGTCCGCCGTCTCCGAGCCTCTGTCGGCCTGCCTGCCCGCGGAGCCAGCTGCCCGTTTCTCTTCCCTCCTCCTCGCTTTCTGCTCCTCCCGATCCCTCCTCCTCCGACTGGTCCCTCCTCCTTCCAGCCCAGCCTCCCCGCCCCGCGAGCTAGACGTCCGGGCAGCCCCCGGCTCGGCGCGCCCGCAGCAGCCTCCGCCCCCGGCTCGGTGCGCACGCCCGCGGCCAGGGCAGCCCAAGTCCCGAGCCAGTGCGCCTAGCCAGTCCCGGCGGCCGCCGCCTCCCAGACCGGACCACAGGCCACCTCCGGAGTCCCCGCCTCGCCGCCTCCGCCACCTCCCGCGCGCACGGCCGCCAGACTCCTTCCCGGACTAATTGCAAAGACCCGGAGCGAGCTTCTAGGGGCAGCGATGCGACCCTCCGGGACGGTGGGAGCCGCGCTCCTGGTGCTACTGGCGGCGCACTTCCCGGCGGGGCTGGCGCTGGAGGAAAAGAAAGGTAAGGGCGTGCCCGCGGCCCCGCGCCCAGCGCTCCGGCTGCCCCGAGGACGGCTGCGCCTCTGGCCGGGACCGTGGGAGGGACGCGGCGCGGCGTTTCTGAGCCGCGCGAGCGTGCGGCGGCCCGAGGAGGGAACTGCGGGCTGGGGGATCGGGATGCGGGACGCCCCGGAGCGCCCGCAACTTTCTTCACTTTCCTGCCCTCCCACGCGGGGCCGGCTGGCGTCCGGGCGAGTGCGCCCGGGGGCTTCGGGAAGGACTGCGAGATCCCCTGCCACCCTTCGGGGACTTCCCGGGCTGCCCTGCACCGTGCGTCTTCCCCTGACTCGCGGGTCCTTCCTCTGGGCTGCAGCCCAGGATCCCGAGGCCCGGAGTGCTCGTCTCCGTCGCTAACTACCTGTAGCTACCTGCAAGGGACTTCGTGTTCTCTTCGGCAGAGGCGGTGGGGTCAGACCCTACCCTAGGGTGCAGATCCCCGAGCCCCCTCCCGCCCAGCCGCCCTTGAGCCCGTGGGGTCTGGTGTTCGCTTCGGTAACTCCCGAGATTTACCTCCCGCCTGCAGCCCTCCGGTCGCGTCTCCGGGCTTCGGGGCGGAGCAGGACAGAGAGGTGCGACCGGCGGCTGAGGGACAGCTGGTGCCCAACTCCCTAGCGATCCGGTCCCTCCCCGCCGTTTTTTTGTTTTTTTGTTTTTTTCCAAAATAGGGCTTACAAAAAACTTCCCTCCTCAAAGTGCCAAGATTTTCTCTTGGGGATCTTTCTTTTAGCTTTCTGAAGATTTTGACACTGGGCCAACCAAAATATTAAATTTATTATTTTAAAAAAAAAGAGGATTGATGTCCTTGGTTCACGTGCCCCAAATGTCCAGAGCCAACGTGATCGAGTTTGGCTTCGTGACCACGGACCATCAACCCACTTAACGTGAGAAACATGCCTTGGGAGGTTTAATTGCACAATTTCCAAATCGAGAAGCCCGGGTTCCAGGAGTCAGGTCTGTACTCGCTGATGATGTCATGGGCCTGGGCAGTCGGGGGTTGGTGCTGAGCGGGAGGCTGGGGGAGTGTTAGGGCTTGGAGCCGCCGGTCCCAAACTTTGTTGTGAATTAGAATCACTTGGCGTTTTAAACCAAACCCAACCTCATCAAATACAGACCGATGTCAGCCTCCCCCTCCCCCAGGCACTCAGTGGCCTTGGTCTCAGGTGACACCCAGCCATCCCTCCCTGTTTTTTCAAAACCCCTCAGATGATTCGGTGGGGCGGCCAGGTGTGGGAATTGTTGGCACAGAGGAGAGATTGGTAAAGACTCCGGAAAGACCAACTGGCAAATAAAGAGCCCTTTTGGAACATCTGGAGTTGTAAGCATCTTGCAAAATCCGGGAAAGAGGAGGTGGGAGTGATTTCAGGACGAGTGGATGTCTTTTCGGTGAAAGCTTGTCCTCCTTCGCTGTGAGCCTTGAGGGTCCTGACCAGCTGAAGATGGGGGCGTCCTAGGCAGGTGTAGCCCTCACTTCCTGCTGCAGGGGACCCGCGTCCCTGCCTTAAACTCAACTCTGCAAGCACTGTAAGCATCACTCTTCCCCAGAATCATCCCCAGCTTGTGGCTGTTACTCTTGTGAACATGGCTGTTAGTGCTTGGAGATTTGTTTTGGAAAAAATATATAAATGCTACTTAAGTTGCCTGTTAGTCCTGTATTTGCTTAAAACAGAATGTTCCTGGAAAAAAAAAAAAAAGGAGACTAGGCAAGCAAATGTCATTCGGTGAAAGTGACATAAAAAGACCAAAATTTAAGGGGGGAATTATTAAAAATATATGATGAGCTCTATTTACAAAAAGTGTTAAACACCCACATCAAACAAATTCACTCAGTTTTGTTCCAGAAATGCAACTCACTTGAGAGAGAGTATTTTGGTCCTGAGATAGAATTTCTCCCGTGCTGCTTGCGTGAGGCACTACTGTCAGATGTGCTTTGGCGTGTCCTCTTCGTCCTTCCAACCCTGACAGCAAGCGTGTGACACGGGTACTCTCCTGTGTGGAGAAACTGAGGTACAGAGAAGTAAACTGACTTTCCAGCCACTGGAAGAAGCGGAACAAGGGTTCTCAGCCCCAGCCCTCCCTCAAACACCCAACTCCACTGCCTGGCGTGAGTTCTGGTTTTGGGAGAGCAACAATGTCAGAGGCTGGGGGTGGGGAGGAACAGGACCGGGTACTGGGCCCCCCAGCAGAGTCCCTGGTGTGAACTTGGAACGAATGGCTGCCTGCTCAGGTCTGGACCCCTGCTCACTGTCACCCAGAAGTCGATCTGGCTGCCATTTCTGGAGGCCACTGGGCCACCAAATGAACAGAGAGCTCGGAGAGAGCTGGAGGGGTGCTGAGCCAGCCCCTTGCGCTGGCAAAATGGAAAGGAGGAGACCCGGTGGTAGTGGGGGAGGGCAGGGACCCTCCGCCCCGGGAGCCTGCCCTGGCCCCTCTTCTGAACACTCTCATGATGGCTGCCTGTCACGTCTGCCTTCAGATGTTCAGTTTCACAGTCCATGGTGTTTCCAAAACTCACTCTGCAGCTGGTAGGAGCCGATTCCCAAGATCCCTTATACCGCCTTCATTAGACAGTCCCCGTGAGAGCAGTACCTGTTCGGAAATGTTTTCAGAGGTAGTATCAGTCTAGATGAAGCATTACGCCCTGTTTCAAAAGAAAATACTCTTTGTTTTTCCTTTGATCTGAGCTCCAGGACCAGCAGCTGGCATCAAACTTTTTCAATAAGAGCGGAGAGCCAGCTCTAATATCAAATGGATAATTATGGGTGTGTAAGGGAAGACAGCCCCACGTGGGTACTCCAGGCCCTGACATGGGACATGGAGTGCAAATGCTGGGGACACTCAGCTTGTGGGAGGACCCACCTAGGAAATCACATGGCCCTCGCCACATGGGTTGCCGTGAAAGTTGTGTTTGTGTATTTGTGGCTGCATTTCAGTTTCTGCGCGGTGCGGTGGAAATGGGCTTCCTCCAAGTCAGGTTTTACTCGTAGGACTACCTTTTGAGAAAAGGTTGAAGTTCTAGTTCTAGAATGTGGCTGCCGCCCCATGCATTATTTCCCTGGAAATACAAAGAAACTAGATTGGGCTCCTCAGATCTCTACTGAACGAATTTCACTTTGTTTTCTTCTGTCACTTGTGGACGTTTGAAAATATGCTAAGAAACCTTTTTTTGGTCTTGGGTGATGAGGACTGGTTTATTCTTGAACCACGAGCACAAATGGGATAGACTATAAAGCTTATTCTCGAAGGTCGTTCCCATTCGACGTCTGAGCTTCTGCTCACACCTTCTTTTTCATCTTCCTCCTAAAAGGTTGCCTTTTCTAAGAAAATTCCAACAGTTGGCTCTTCCACAACATTTGAGGGTGGTCTGCCATCCGGCCATGGGCATAAGCAACTTAGTTTGAGTTTGAGCAAGGATCCAGGTTTTTGTTTTTGTTTTTAAAAGATTCCATTCATTTATTTTTAGAGAGAGGAGAAGGGAGGGAGAAAAATATCAATGTGTGGTTGCCTCTTGAGTGTCCCTTACTGGAGACCTGGCCCGAAACCCAGGCATATGCCTTGACTGGGAATCAAACCAGTGACCCCTTTGGTTTGCAGGCTGGCACTCAATCCACTGAGCAACACCATCCAGGGCAGGATTCAGGTTTTAAGCCTATGTCAAAGTATCAGTTTGACTGAAATTTTCACTTTTTCAGAGTCATTAAGTCCAGCTTTCTTCTTACACATTTAGGTAGACACACTCAATTCAGGAGTCCAGAAAGTTCCCTGAGCCCACGGGAGCAGGAGAGGTGGTTCAGAGCCAGTGTGCAGAGGCGGCTTGTTGTCTTAGCCTGGTTAGAAGCTACGTGCGGGACTTGACACTTCGGTCTCTGAAGGCACGAAGGCACAATGTCAGATGTCCGACCCTGTTGACTAAGCAGCCCTGAATTGCATATGCTCAAAATAAATTTCACTCCTACCAAGTTTCAGCAGCTTGCTTAAGAGAGTCGAGTGTGCCGGCTAGCACAAGAGGGTAGAATTTCCTTCCGGGTTCCACATTACGTCCTATCCTGGCAGGTCCTCACACGAAGACCCAGAGTCAAAGCCTCCTTTCCAACTATATCTGGAAGGTCTCATTAACAGGAGCCTCGAAATGCAATTTAGGGGACTGATGGCTAGATGAGAATGCCTGTCCCCAGGACTAAATACACCCACAATTGCACCCTGTCACTACTGGGCCTGCACATGGCCTTGATTTAGTATAAATAATTACATCAGTTAACCACTGCTGTTTGTCCTTCAGTATAAGAGCAAGCATGTCGACCTATTACAACTTAGGCTTTTGTTTGCATTTTTCCCTTTATGTTCCAACCACAGTAAGTGACTTGGGCTGTCCTGTCCACATTTTGAGCTGCAGGGATGAGTCACCCGTGGTGCTTGTCTCAAGTGTCTGGCAGTCAATTAGGGGAAGAGAGATCTACAGATAACAGGTGTGAAACTTGCACAGGGGCAGCGACAGAATTCTGTACGGGACAGAGACGTCTTCTGGTGCTAGCCTTTGCCTTTAATTCCATCTGGGGAAGGGGCCGGGTAGAGCCCCACACGGAAGGGGTTCCTCACGGGGGCCTGCAGAGAGTGCGGGGCATTTCCCCGGAAAAGTACGACGGGGAGGACATTCCAAGAGAAGTGCCTGGAACAGCCCTAAGAAGCTGGGAATTCCATGCAGTGATGGGAAGACAAGGGAGAGGTGGCGAGGGCAGAGCTCACGGGGAGCTCCGCTGTCCCGGTGGGGGAGGAGGATCAGCGTGGGGTTCTAGGCTGGGAACCGGTGGGGTGTGTCTGGCACTTCAGAAAGCCGACTCCGGCCACAGTGTGGGGAATGGACTGTCAGGGTGTGGTGGAAGCAGGGAGCTCTGGGCAGGTGTGCAGAGATGGGGAGCAGGAGCAATGGGAACGCAGAACCAGCGACGCGTTCTGCTGACCTGGAGG